TTTATTTTACATGAAAATTGTCCATTAAAGTGAAATTTTTTTTTAACATTGGTTATGACATTTGTTTCCATTGCCAAAAAAAAAAAAAAAAAATCTACCCACCCCAACATCCAACCAAACACAACCCAAAGCCGCCAACAGCCACCACCAAACACACGATCGACTTAGTGGACGGTTACCCCATCTATTTCAAATTAATCAATTCAATTTTACAAGAAAGTATTGGTGGAGAATCCCACCACCACCACTTCCATCGCGACAGCAACATAGAACATCAAGTCGAGTACTAACAATGTGATGCACTTTACCTATTTCAAACCCTCCAAGCAAATCAAGCTATTGCTATAACCGAGATGCACTTTTCCCTCCTTGAAACAAAATAACATTGTCCTTTTGTTTGGTGCAAGAGAGTCCCCTTTGTGAATCCATGGCTTCTGGCTCGGATCTTGCTAAGAGATCACAAAATTGGTCGAAAATGGATTTTATGGAAGAGAAAACAGAAACCATGTACACTCAAGCAGATCTTCTGGAATTCCTATGACTTTTGGGTTCGATTTAGTGGAGGTGATGGTCGAGTTTAGAAGGAATAGAAGTGGAAGGTGATTGTTCGATCTAGTGGAGGTGATTTTGGTCTTTGGGTAGCTGTGGGTTTGGTTGTGGTGGCCGGCGGCTTTGGATTATGGTTTGGTTAGATGTTGTGGGTGGGGTAGTTTTTTTTTTTTAGTTTAATTGTTTTTATTGTTAATAATGTTTGAAAAAAATTGTTAACTGTAAAGTTATTATTTTATCATTTTCAATTTGGTCAAAATTAGTCAAAGTCCAATTTTCTTGATCAACTAATGGTAAAATTGACGGTTTTAATCTATTTGGACTCCAACTACTAATTTTTCAAAGGTTTTGGACCTTCACTAGTACAAACTAAAGGTTAAGTTAAAGTTAAAAAAAAAAAAAACCAAATGTTTGAAATTGCTGTTGAAATTATCCCTAATAATAATAATAAAATAATTTATTTTAAACTTAAAATTACTCAAATAATTTTATTTTGTCTTTAATATTCAAAATTTATAATACTTGAGTGTCACGTAACAAATTATTCCTAAAAAATTCATTGAATATCATGTCTGACTCGCATGAAATAGGAGTCTCCCTCCTATCGATTCCCCCTAAAAGGGCAGGATGGGGGGGGGGGGGGGGGGGGGGGTTGAAGAATTTTGATTTGTAAGTTTATTATACTCTTACTTTAATTTCAACGACTGAAAAAACTAATCTGCACAAAATTGTTAATCATTTCAATTAAATGTTTTTAGTCCTTATCGAGAAGTTGGATTAGAAGAAACTCTCACATACTTCCATCTCATTATGGCTGTGATCGACTGAATAAGAGGATAAACCCAAGAAAGGATATGAAAGAATTGAAATAAAAATTCGAAACCAAGAAATGGAAGGACAAAAGTCTTATGGACAAAGATTCCGTGGATAGAAACATTCGCAAAATTCTACATGTATATTTAGAATAAAGTATGAAATTCTATTTACTCATTTTAAATTTAGTATGGTTTCTCTCAATTTCTTGCTATGATTGAAAATCCCGTATTTTACATATTCATACGATTGGGCCATTGAATTTTTGAAATAATGTAAACAGAAGTGCTTCGAGTTAC